GTAGAATCTCACCCCCACAAATATTACATCTTTGGATTTTTTTTCTCTCTTATTACTTCCTGGGTATCCATATATTGTGTTGATACCTTAAATATACTTCAACTTTTCAGGAAAATATGAGAGTTTAAAGTGTACCTCAAACCCATGTTGTTCAGGGGTCAACTGTACTTTGTTATTAGCTTTTGAAACTCAAAGCCTTAGCGTAAATTGCTGCAAATATACCTTCAAGTACATCAATTTACTTCTAGATCGTATTGTAGAGGTATAACCATCATGGTGGAGGGATAAATGCTTCTGTATGGAAAGGAAAATGGAAAGAATGGAACAAATAATACAGAAAAATCACTCAGTCTTATTATACAAGCAGCTTTTTAAAAAAACTCATAATATACCTGGCCATAGATAGTGCTCCAGCAAAGGTATAGTCTCTTCCAAGTAAAGAACATAAAATTAAAACACACATACACATATATACTACAAAACAGAATATATATGTATTATATACTTAATTAAGAATTAAGAACATATGCTTAATTTGACAAAATATTTAACACTGTGTTCCTTCAAAGCATAGATTTATATGTTTATTTTATTTTATTAACTTGCCTCAGGCAAATTCGTTATCTCTTGACACCGCCTCTCTCTCTCTCTCTCAGCCTCACTATCTTATGTCCTAGCAAATATTCTATAAAAGGAGCTTTTCTGCCCAAGGCCTTGTGTTCATTTTTTGATAACAATCTCTCTGCTTCCGTCTTCATTCATAGCCAAGTAGACATCACACTGCAGTGCAGGAACAGGCAGGAGGGGGCCCCATGGGCCTTCAAAGTGGGTGGCTGAGTGTGAGTAGATCAAAGATGTCATCTCAAATGAATGAATGTAGCGTAGGAGGTATAATAACCAGAGAAAAGGTATACTGAATACCACCAGAGGCAGGAAAATGAAAAGATCCTTTAGGCGGCCACAGAAAACAATTTGTGCACAAATAGTGTGTGTAATAAGGATATCTGCTAGGAGGTATGTTTTGTTGTCCCCCCACAGTAGTAAACCAGATGTCCCTGAGGTACACAAGCCTTTGTTCCTATTTTTCAGGAATATGTTGGATGTGGTAGCTGTGGAGTAGTGTCCATTCATTGCTTTAGTAAGTGTTTACTGAATACTGAATGTGGATTCAGTAAAATATGTAAAATGTGGTCTTTGACTTCAAGGAAACCCTCAGGGTAATTGAAAATCGAAGGCATGCACACACCAAAATAAAACATTCAGGTAAGACCATGTGTTATGAAGTTTTCAATTGTTGGCTTTGGAAATGGACCTCAGAAGTCCTCCAGTCCAGTGGTTTTCCTCCTATATTCTGAAGATCTGGAGCTCCATAGAAGTAGTTCAAGGATTAAACAGTGCTCAAAAGGGAAAGGTCAAGCTCATCGAAATGCATTCATCCTTCTATGTAACAGAGAAGTTGAGTTATTAGTTTCCCAAGGACATTTGCTAGTAATCAGCAGATTTGAGATCAGAAATAAGTTCCAATATGTGGTAAACGTAATACGTGCTGCTTGGTTTTAGAGGGGAGAGGTATTTGATTAATACATACACAGCCTCAAAGCATTTTCTTTCTTTTCTTTTCTTTTTTCTTCTTTTTTTTTTTTTTTTTTTTTTTTTTTTTTTTTTTGAGACAGAATCTGGCTCTGTCGCCCAGGCTGGAGTGCAGTGGCGCGATCTCGGCTCACTGCAAGCTCTGCCTCCCGGGTTCACACCATTCTCCTGCCTCAGCCTCCCGAGTAGGTGGGGCTACAGGCATCCCCCACCACGCCCGGCTAATTTTTTTTTCGTATTTTTAGAAGAGACGGGGTTTCACCGTGTTAGGCAGGATGATCTCCATCTCCTGACCTTATGATCCGCCCACCTCGGTCTCCCAAAGTGCTGGGATTACAGGCATGAGCCACTTGCGCCCAGCCGCCTCAAAGCATTTTCTAATCACTCTTGGAGGCTAGGATCTAAATCTCAGTTATCTAGGAGTAGTATACCATGTAAAAGATTGTATGCTGAAGATGTTTAATTTTAGAATAAACAATAAGGACTGAATTTGCCTTTCTATTTTTCTATCATGAAGAGCATAAAGTTATTCCACGGTATAATATTTCAGTATTAGCATAATATATAGCCTGAGTAATGTGTTATTAGGAAGTTAAACTTGTCATATAAAATTCATATGATTAACTTCAAAGCCGCAAACAAGTGACTTTTGGATGGTGTATTTTTTTCATAGCTTATTTCCACTAGCAAGAATTATTAAAAATTAGTCTTTTTTCATTGTCATTCCATGTTCAAAATTACTCTTTATAAGGCTAATTGATTTGAAGTGGAAATACAAGCAGAATGACTAAATAGAGTTGTATGTCCTAAAATCATCTTTATATGAAATTTATTAACTTATTTAAAGAGATAGTTGAGAAAATAATTTAATATAGTGGTTTGACTCACAATTAATAAAACGAGTTTCTTAATTCTAATTATTCTTAACTCTTTAGTTACCTTTCATAACTATATACATGAAGATATATAAGAATTTTAGATATATGATTATATGGGAATTATATAGTCATTCAAGTATATGGTAATATGTATAGGCTTGCAGTGGTATCACTCTTTCAATGCTTTATAAAGTTAAACTTACATGTTTAAAGTACTTAGCACAGTTTCAGAGATTTACTTAGTAAACACTGAAGAGATGATAGCAATTAACATAAGTACCACTCACCTAGAAGGCACTGTGCTAGGTGTTGTCTATAAATGAACTAAAATCTCTCAGAATAATGGAAGAAGATATGTATATTAAATGATTACTCAAGAACTATAAGCATAGGAAAAAGTGAGTACTCATAAACTTACTTCTATGTAATGGTGGTGGGAACCATAAGGAGAAATTTACTTTGAAATGAAAAGAATCAATATGTTTGCCCCAGAATAATGGTTCAATGAAACATTACAGTCGCCTGGAAGAAATACCATAGATAGAAAGATGACCCCTTATAATAGTAAAAAATGCAGGCTTTTTATCTATCCCTATGTTAAACTTTTGGAAAGAAGAAAAAAAGAGAGAGAAATGATGTAATAAGTACATACTTATTTTTGTAATTTCTAGTATTTTTCAAATGATTAAATGAAAATGCGATGTTGTAGACCAGGTACCATGAGAACAAGGTAAATAGGTAGGTTGCTGTGCTCTGGAAATCTCAATTTATACAGCTCTGGAGAGTGTTTTCTGATTGAGGTTTCCCGTGTGCTCTCTGATTCTCCCTAGAACTTGGATATAGGTAATTGAAGACTGTGGGAGGACTCTCAGAGTCCCGATGCTGAAAAACATGAAAACCTATTCTTAATATGACTCAGTTTTCTTATGCTAAGTCAGATAGAGACTCCTTTTTATTTTCTCATAGGTTGCCTTGGACTTTTTCAATTGTTAAGTATGTCCACATGGAATAATCTCTGAAACTAAGAATTATACACATCTGAATTGCTTTTCATAGCCACACACAACTGAGTTTAATGTACCATGAGCTTTTTAAGAGTAATAACTCTGTCTTGTTCCTAGGTTTACTTCTATTTAGCAGAATACTTGAGAAAGCAAGGTATTAATAAATATCTCTGGAATTAAATTAAGTTGTTTTATTTAACAATACTTTTTGAGTGTCTCCATGATGGGCACTGTGAAAGGCGCTAAAGGTAAAAACAGGAAAATAGTACAATTTCTGCTCTCAAGCAGCTTATAACCGAACATGAGAAATACATATATATTAATATATGTGAGGTAGAATGGAATAAATGCTTCAATAATGGTAAATTACAGGAAAGAGTAGAAAATATACATCTATTCATCTATATTAGAAAATATTTCCCAAAGACAAAATGAGGTATGGCTTAAAAAATGGATTAAATTTGGGTATAAAATGTAAAATGTGAAGAGTATGATATGTTTACCTTTTTCTATTGCTAGGTAACTGAAGTACTTTTTTTTGTTTTTTTTTTGTTTTTTTTGTTTTTTTTTGAGACGGAGTGTCCCTCTGTCACCAAACTGGAGTGCAGTGGCATGATCTCGGCTCACTGGTTCACTGCAATCTCCACCTCCCAGGTTCAAGTAATTATCCTGCCTCAGCCTCCCGAGTAGCTGGGACTACAGGAGCATACTGCCACGCCTGGCTAATATATATATATATATTTTTGTATTTTAGTAGAGATAGGGGTTCACCATGTTGCCCAGGCTGGTCTCGAACTCCTAAGCTCAGGCCATCCGCCTGCCTCAGTCTCCCAAAGTGCTAGGATTGCAGGCGTGAGCCACCATGCCCAGGCCTGATTTGCATTTTTATAAGTCCAAAGACTACTTTATCTTCTGCTTTGTTAATTAAGTTAAAAATATAAGTGAAAATGTGAGACTTGGTAGATGAGAATTTACAAGTCGGATTAAGGAACGTCTACTGCCTCAGATATGATTGTGTATGAGCAGAAAATTCCCTTTGAACTCTAGTTAGCCTCTCTCTTATATAGTGTTCTCAAGTTGAACTCTCACCCATCATATCTCTATCTCCTTGGCATATTGCTATCCCGTGCTGTGAAAAGATAGGCACTTCAAAAGAAAGCACATTAGCTAAGCATCAGTTGCAACTTAACGGGCCAACGTATTTGAATGATACTCTGCAATGACATTATAAATCTTTTCTTTAGACTGTTGGGGGAATATGCTACACCTCACTGAAAATCTCTGATGTGACTTTGATATTAATAATTCTTTCATAGAAGAATCAATTGAATAGAGAGATATATTTTGAGAAAAAATAATCCAGAATGAAAGCAAAAATAGAATAATGTAATGGGCTCAATATTGGGGTAAACATAATCTGTTGTGGAAAAGATATGACTTAGAGAGATGGAAAGAGGGAAGGGGAGAAAAAATGAGAATTAATATGAACACATGAATCACAAATGCTGTGTTATTTTTCTGTCTTCTTTATTAGATGCTCACATCGTTCCGTCTTCAATCAAGTGAATAGCAGGTGGCATTTTTATGTGGCTGAAAGAGAAGACTAAATCAGCCAAGTGAGTAATAGCTAGCTGTAAGCCTGGCCAGTTTTACTCAGCTATGAAGAAACTGTGACTGCATAACTGGGTTTAAATATGATGCATTCACCCCATTTTTCTCTCAGTTGTATTATACAAGGTACCAATGTTAGCAAGTTCACCAGGACTGGCAGAAGAGATGATTCAAAGAGGGACAGTGAAAGACTGTAAATTTAAGGGTACATAAAAGAAGCACTAACATTTTTCTATCACTTGATGTCTGTTTATGATGGTACACAATCTCAAAATGTATACGTGACATTAGGCATTTAAAAGGAAAGTGTTATGAAAATAGAAATTAAATAACTAAAATTTCTCATGAGATATTAGTGATAAGTAGAAAATGTTTTATAAAATAAGTAATTGCTTATAGGATGCAGAAAGGGAAGATAAAAGAGCTCAGAATGTCTGAAGGAGGAAGAAGTACTTGATTTGTTTTTTACTTCTTTTGATTTGCATTCGTTTATTAAACACATTAATTTAGCATCTACTGATTACCGGCACTGGAGATTCAGCAGCGAACAACAGATTCAAATTTCTGTACTCAAAGGGTTTACATTCTGATGGAGTCTTTGGGGAGGGGAAAGAAAGAGGATTCAAGAAGATATTTTTTAAAAAATTAAAATATAAAACATGTTAGATGAATCAGAGCACTATGGTGAAAAACAGTGGAGGGAAAGGAAAGGTAATAATGGAGAGAGGCCTGAAATTTAAATTACAGTGTTTGAGGTAGTTTCACTGAAAAGGGGACATTTGAGCAAAGACCAAGAGTAGGCAAGAGAATGAGCCATGTGAACATCTAGGAAAATCTCATTTTAGGTATAGGGAGAAACATATGCAAAGCCCTGAGGCAAAAGTGGGCTTGATGTATTTGAGGAGCAGTAAGGATGGTGTGGCTGGAGCAGTGAACAGTAGGGAGGGGAGTAAGAAATGAGATCAGAAAACCAAGGGGAAGGGACACACTTCCTAGGACTGTGTGGGCTGCTGTAAGGAATTTGCTTTCATTTTGCATGACACAGGAAGGTATGCTTCTGCGATGAAGACAGATTGTAGGGGACAAGAACAGGAGCAGGGAGATAAGTCAGGAAGTTGTTGATTAATCCAGATGAGAAACAATGGTAGAAGTGGAGACCTGTGGTCAGACCCTGAATGTGTTTGGAACAGGGATGTGGATGAATTAGATATGGCATATATGAGGACAATTGTACTTCTAAAAAATAACTGTTGGAATGATGGTGTTGCCATTTACCTAGAAAGGGAAAAGTATAGTAGAAGAAAGTTTTGATAGGGAGATCAAGACTACAATTTTGAACGTGTGAGTTTGAGAAGCCTACTGGACTCACAAAAGGAGACATCAACGTTGTTTTTACTTGTACATTTTTATATATAAGTGTGGAGATCAGAAAGAACTCTGACCTGAATATTATTATTAGATGCTATTCAAAACTGTAATATTGGGTAAGATTCACAAGGAAGTAAGTATAGAAAGAGAAGAGAAATTGTACAAGTGCAGAGACCTGAAGCATCTTATATTAAAAGTGGAGGAAAGTGAGAAAGAACAAGCAGCAGTCTGATTGGAAGGAGCCAGTAAGGTAGGAAAAATAATCAGGAGAATCTAGAATTAGGAAACTGAGAAGAGAAAGTTTTGTCTTATTTTCTCTCCTATGAAAAGGAGTAATCAGTGGTGTACAATGCCACTAATAAGTCAAATGAAATGAAAATAGATTTAACCGTTGGAATAAGCAAATCATAAATTATTTTCTACCTTGAACAAGAGTTACAGTGGAGTAGTAGAAGGAAAACGAGTGGGTTGGAGAAAAAACAAGAGGTGTTAAATTGGAAGAAAATAAGTACAGATAAATCTTTCAAAGGATTTTGTCGTATGAAGTCACAAAAATATAGAGTTAGCTGGAGGAGAAATGGAATCAAAACAGAAGATTTTTTTTTAATGAGGAGAGAAAAGCAGAAATTACAATGTGCTGTGTGAAGATGGAACTGATGATGTAGGAGAATAGGGAAAAAGTGTATGGGCAGTGTCCTTAAATAGGGGAGAAGAAATGGGATAGAACTGAAAAGTGAAAGTAGTAGTCTTACTTGGGGTCTGGATTGTTTACAAAAGCATGGGGCAAGCTGGTGGAAAGGCAGATTATGTAGGCATGAATGTAAAGAAGGTTGGGTAGATGTGGCATTAAGACTGTAAAGTGAAATTGAAAATAAAATCATTAGAGTTACTATGAGGAGAAGGTTCTGGAGATATATGAAGAAATAGTATGAAATACAGTAACTGTCTAGGAGCTGGGAGAGTAGATTGGAGAAATGTAGGACAATTGCTTGACAGCAATATAATGCAGGCATGTGTCACTTAATAGTGAGGATAAGTTCTGAGAAATGTGTCAATAGGCAATTTCATCATTGTACAATCATCATAGAGTGGACTTACACAAACTTAGATGATGTAGCCTCTCACACACCTAGGCTATATGGCTTATCCTATTGTTCCTAGGCTACAAACCTGTACAGCATGCTACTGCGAGGAATACTGTAGCCAATTGTAAGACAATGATATTTGTATTTGTAAGTATAGAAAAGGTTCCGTAAAAACAATATGGGATAAAAGATTAACAAAAGTACAGCAAAAACCGATATGGTTAAAAGATAAAAAGTGATATACCTTTATAGGGCACTTACCATGAATGGAGCTTGCATGACTGGAAGTTGCTCTGGGTGAGTCAGTGAGTGAAGGAATGGTGAGCGAATGTGAAGGTTGAGGACATGACTGTACACTACTGTAGGCTTCATAAATGCAGTAAACTTAAGCTGAACTAAATTTATAAAACAAATTCTTTTATCAGTAATAAATTTAACTTACTGTAGTTTTTTCATTTTATAAACTTTTTAATTTTTTAAAACTTTTTTACTCTTTTGTAATAACACTTAGTTTAAAACTCAAATACATTGTGGGGAGGTGGAACAAAATGGCCAAATAGATGCCTCTAGCTACTTTCCTCCTGGCAGAAACACCCAATTAAGCAACTTTCTTTTTTTTTTTTTTTTTTTTTTTTTTTTTGAGACGGAGTCTTGCTGTGTCTCCCAGGCTGGAGTGCAGTGGTGTGATCTCGGCTCACTGCAAGCTCCGCCTCACGGGTTCACGCCATTCTCCCGCCTCAGCCTCCCAAGTAGCTGAGACTACAGGCGCCCGCCACCACGCCCGGCTAGTTTTTTGTATTTTTAGTAGAGACGGGGTTTCACCGTGTTAGCCAGGATAGTCTCGATCTCCTGACCTCGTGATCCACCCGCCTCGGCCTCCCAAAGTGCTGGGATTACAGGCTTGAGCCACCGCGCCCGGCCCCAATTAAGCAACTTTCTACACAAAAAGTCACCTTCATAAGAACCAAAAATCAAGTGAATTCTCATAGTACCTTTTAACATCGTATCAAGGCAAGAGGCACTGAAGAGAACAGGAAAGAAAGTCTTGAATCACCTACACTACTCCTCACCCATCCCTCAGCAGAAACCTGAGTTTTGACAAGCCCTTCCATGGCAGGCTAAAGCGTTCTGGGGTTCAAAATAAACTTGGCAGGCAGTCTAGGTCACGAGGACTACAATTCCTGGCGCCGTCCTGGTGCTGTGTTAGTCTCAGAACCAGTGGACTTGTGGTGCATACAACCTAGTGAGACACCAGCTGAGGCATTCTAGGGAGTGCTTGCGTTACCCCTCCCCCAACCACAGACAGAGCAGCTCATAGCCCTGGGAGACTCCTTCTCTCTGAGGAAAGAAGAGTAAAGAGGATTTCGTCTTGCAACTTGGATACCAGCTCGGTCACAATAAAATAGGGCACCAGGCAGAGTCCAGAGGCCCCCTTTCCATGCCTTAGCTCCTCCATGAGATTTCTAAGCACACGCTGGGCCAGAATGGAACCCACTTTCTTCAAGGGAAGAACGCAGTCCTGACAGGATTTAGCACCTACTGAATAAAGAGCACTTGGGCTCTGAATAATCGGCATTGGTAGCCAGGCAGTACTTGTCGTGAGCATTGGTTGAAATTCAGAGGACTTCTGGCTTCAAGTGTGACCCAGCACATTCTCAGCTGTAGGGGCTATGGGGAGAAACACCTTCTGCTTGATGAAAGGAGAGGAAAGAGTAAAGAGAACTTAGTTTTGTGGCTTGGGCACTAACTTGACCACAGTGGGGTAGAGCACCAAGCAGGCTCCTAGGGTCACTGATTCTAGGCCTTGTCTCCTAGACAGCATTGCTGGACCTTCCCTGGGCCAGGGCAGTGCCCACGGCCCTGAAGGGAGAGACTCAGGACTGGCAGCATCCACCACAAGCTGACTGAAGAGCCCTTAGGCCTTGGGTGAACATAGGCAGTAGACAGGCAGTGGTCACTGTGGGCTTTAGGTGAGATTCAGTACTGTACTTGCTTCAGGTGGGACCCAGCACAGTCCCAGTGGCTGTGGCCAAGGGCATGCCTCCATCACCCATCCCCAACACCAGGCAGATAAGCACACACAGAGAGAGAGACTCTTTGGGGGAATGTAAGGAAAGGAAAACAAAGGTCTACCTGGTAATCTAGGGAGTTCTTTCAGAGCTTGCTAAGACCACCAAGGTGGTATGTCTATGAGTGTGCTAGAGCTGGCAAATTACTGGGCTTGGGATGCCCCCTAAAGCAAATGAAGCTGGAGTGTTCAAAGACTTACATCACAATACCCAAGTTTCTTCAAATATCTAGAAAGTCATCACAAAAACGGATAGGTATAAACAAGCCCAGAGTATGAAGACTAACATAAATACCTGACTCTTTGTGTAAGTGTATCCTTTCATTGCTATAAAGAAATACCTGTGACTCGGTAATTTGTTTTTTTTAAAAGGAGGTGTAGTTGGCTCATGATTCTTCATGCTATGCAGGAAGCATGATGCTGGCATCTGCTTGGCTTCTGGAGAGGTGTCAAGAAACTTCCAATCATGGTGTAAGGCAAAAGG